TAAGCGTCGACCGAGTGGATGGAGTAGGAGATTGGTGTCTTTGCACAAAAGAGTTTATGGAATGGCATAAAAACGAAGATCAGACCGTTAACCGTGTTTTATTCCTTCCCGGAGAGCCGGGGGTTGGAAAAACCTACCTTTGGTTTGTCAGACGTCCCCCCGAAACGGTGTGTAGGGCTAAAGGGTGAATCAATAGTTCTCTTGTGATAGACACACTGTGTGATCAGATTGAAGAAGAAGAGGTCGTCGCCTATGTGTACTACGACTACCCTGCCTATGAGGAGCAATCTGCGACTAGTGTACTTGGGTCTGTGATAAGGCAGGTTGTCGGGCGACTGGAACACGTTCCGGAGGAGATAAAGAATGCCTTTGAGCGGGCGAGAAAACAGGTTAGCCATCGCAAGCCTCGGCTTCCCGAACTCTGTGAGATGCTTGTCAAGACTCTGTTGTCCTTGAAAAGGAGCTTTATATGTGTCGACGCTCTGGATGAGTTTCCCTCAGAGCACCGGCCTGAACTTTGGGAATCTTTACAGCACATTCTTCGGGAGTGCCCAAACACTCGGCTATTCCTTACTGGGAGACCAGACATCGTGGACGAGGTTGAGATATATTTCACCGAAGCTGTTGATCTGGTTTATGTAGACCTTCCAAACGATGATATCAGGTTATATCTAAGAGCGAGATTAGAGACAGATCTGCACCCAGAAGCAATGAACGAGGATCTGCGAGCCGATATTCTAAGATTAGTTCTAGGCCCTATCCGCAAAATGTACAAAGGGGCCTATCCATACTAGATTTGAGTTTTCAGGCTGATAGTGTTGTCAAGATTGCTTTTAGTCTCCCTCATTGTAGATGCAATCCTTAGCCGGGCGACGATACCTGAGAGAAGAGAAGCACTGCGAAAGATGACCGGTAGCATTGGCTTACAGGATGCCTACAGGACAACACTGAATTGCCTAAGAGCGCAGAGCGAAGTCAAAGCGAAACTTGGCATGCAGGTGTTGATGTGGATTTCTTGTTCCGAACGGCCATTAAAAGCAGAAGAGCTTTGCAGTGCATTGGCTGTGGAAGTGGGGAATATAGACCTTCAGATGGAAAATGTCCCTTCGATAGGGGCGGTGTTGGGCTGTACTTTAGGACTTGTTACGATGGATGAACAAGAATCGACAGTCAGTCTCAGGCATTTCACTCTCCAGGAGTATCTAGGAGCACATACCAGCCTATCCACCACTCCTCACTCGATGATAGCTGAAATATGCCTTACATATTTAAACTTTCAGTTCGTCTCGGATCTCCCAACAACCCTCAATGTTACCACACCTATGACGCCACTTCTCCGCTATGCATCGTGTTATTGGGGATCCCATGCTAAGCGGGAACTGTCCGAGAGAGCGAAATCTCTGGCATTGCAAGTCCTCACACAGTATCCGGAACATATATCTGCTAATATTCTCCTGGACGAGATGATTTTGAGACCTGTCCGGGGGTTTACAGGACTGCACTGCATTGCATATCTGGGGATTGCCGAAATTGCGGCGGCCATGGTGAGAATGAAAAGATGGGATCTGAACGGACGTGATTCTATTGATGCAACCCCATTAATGTGGGCTTGTAGATACAAGAATTACAGCGTGACAAAGCTCCTTCTTGCAGAGGAAGATGTTGATCCTAATTTACCGGACCATGACGGCCTAACACTTCTTTCCCGGGCTTCTAGGTCTGGGGATGAGCCCCTTGTAAAGCTGCTATTGGAACGGGAGAATGTTTCTCCCGATTCACAGGACAAGAACGGACGAACACCACTCCTTTGGGCCGCCCGTTCTGGACACGAAGGAATAGTGAGACTATTTCTGGAACGGGAGGACCTGAATCCCGACGCACCTGATAACAGTGGCCAAACGCCACTTTCATCTGCGGCTGAGGAGGGACACGAAGGTGTGGTGTGGTTACTGCTGGAACGGGAGGACGTCAACCCCGATTCATTAAATAACAACGGCCGAACACCTCTCTCCTTTGCTGCCTGGTCCGGAAATAAGGGTGCAGTGGGGTTGCTCCTAGGGCAGGAGAGCGTAAATCCTGATTCATCAGATAACTACGGCCAAACACCGCTACTATGGGCTGCCCGGTCTGGACATGAGGACATCGTGAGCTTACTTTTGGGGCGCGTGGAAGTCAATCCCGATACATCAGACATCTACAACCAAACGCCTCTGTTATGGGCTGCTAGGTCTGGGCATGAGGGCGTAGTCGAGTTACTTCTGGGCCGGGAGGGTCTCGACCCCGATCCATCGAATACTAACGGCCAAACACCACTTTTCTTTGCTGCAAGCTCTGGTCATGAGGGCATAGTAAAGCTCCTTCTGCAACGGGAGGACGTCAATCCTGATTCACCGGACAACAAGGGCCGAACCCCATTATCACGGGCTGCGATGAAGGGCCATGAGGGCGTGGTGAAGCAACTTCTGGGGCGGGCAGATGTTAATATCGATTGGCCCGACAAGGACGGTCGAACACCGCTCTCCTTGGCCGCCATGAGGGGGAATGAAGGCGTATTAAAACTATTATCACAATTAAAAAGGCCCACTCCTGGGTTATCGCGAAGTAGCAAGCAAATAGAACAAACCCCCGTTCCCGCCGTGGGTGGCCCGGGAGCAGCGGTATCGTCTCGGGTGCCGCCACGAGAAGCGGACGTTTGTTTCGGGATAACGGACAAGATCGCCGACGCTGCTTCTCCTTCGCGCCCCGACGAATCTCCGCCTAATCCGCCAGATGCACCACCGCCTGCATCCATCATCACCCCCACCTCTGTCTTCTGGGTTTCATGCGGAGTGTTACTCCTTTCTGTGATCGCCATTTCTAGATTCCAGGCTGGGCGCAAGTACAACCTCCTCGGGTGATTGAAGTGGTAGACTTCAACGCCGGATACTCCCTCCCCTCCCCATCCTCCCGCTGTAGCGGAAACAAAGAAATATGGAAGAGGGGTTTTGGGTTTGTGGTTGATCTCGCTGCAACGGACTCACCTTGCTATCGTATCAGAGCGCTTTGGCCCGTGTGGTTATGGGCAGTTATATATTCTTTACTTCTTTATTCAGGGGTGGTGAATTATTTTGTATATCGTTTTACGAAGCGTTCTCTCTTCCATTTATTCCCCCTTTCCCATTCTTTCTTCCGAGTCCGGGGTGGTTTCTTCTACACGGGTTGGATTAATCCGGTCTATTTCAAACTCTAACGGAAAAGATCTTCCCAGTCCTTTTAAGATGAAGTACTTCGTGTACCGATACTAGATTAAATTAACTAAACCTCTTTCTTTACCTTCTTCTCGCTTCTTTCCATTTCTCAGAAAACTAATAGTATACCCCCCAAAAAATAAAGCCAGGGGCACAGGAGCTCAGAATGCCTTTTTTTTTTAAGTCGAAAAAGGATGTTGAAGAAACTTCACTCCATTTATACCGTTCTCCGCCTCAACACTCCTCTCTTTTATTATTCCCGTTACCCAACATCTCTTGGGTTGCTGGGATGGCGAAAAATTTGATGGCGAGCAGCTATGCAATTGGCCCCAGACTCTAGGCGGGGACCCTTGCGCCGAACACTCAATTTTTTTTTTCCAGGTCTTCCCGACTCGTGCGGGGAGGGGTCAAGGCAACCCGGGAAAGAGCCAAAGCCCAAAGGGATGTTGCACAAGGGCACTGATGACAAAATCGACAAGGCGGGGGGGGGGCAAAAGGGAAGCTTTGGGGAACAGCCGCGTGGAAAGATAATGCGTATGAGAGGTGGGATCCGCTTAAAAAGTAAAAAATAATAGGACTCGTTCTATGTTTGTAAAGGCCTAGCTCCGATCGAGAATTGGTCTTGAGTAACCCCGATAGTCCACGCCTATGGTACTAGTATCAAAGATATCCCTAACATCAGATTGAGCCGAGAGTACTAGTAAAGCTGGTTGCGGGGGGCAAATCTTTTTATTATGCTGCCAGTTGTCAATGCCATATTACCATATCCTATTACCTTCCCAGTCATAGGTAGAAAGCGCGATATCCCACTGCTTGGACGATGGATGATCACGGACTACTGCACATTGCGCATAAGGTATCTCAGTTAGGAAGTGCATCTGAAATAATACTTCTACCCCCCGTATTCCACACAAAATGCATATTTCCACGCAGTGGGTGGCATTGCTATTTACGATACTCCTTCCAGTCCCTCCGAAGTGATTGATTTCATGCCTCGCAGAAAGCTTGAGGTTCTACGTAACTTAGGCCCACAGTGTCGACCAATCCCGACAATACTCAAATACCCGAGTATAGGGAAGGGCCATGGCTGCTAGAAAACTGGGTAGCATCCGGAGGGCTCGTGACAAGGGGTGCTATACTCGAGTATCGTTCGGTCTTTGGCTGGCGTTGAACCTTCTTCACCGGCTGGTGTTATGTACCGGTATGGCAGCAGCCAGCTATTATTAAAGGGTATTGATGTCGAGAGATTTGCGGAGGAAATGAAGCACGGAGAAGTCGGTGATTTACAATTGGAGGCTGTGGGGAAGGTGAAGAAATCCAAGAGGAGGACAATGACAGCAAAGCTATTGACCATGTTGCTACTCCACAGGTTGAAGAATGATAATATTATATAAACACTTCACGGTCACAGGTGTCAAGTAGAATTAAGCAAGAGGGTGTCCAATCCTTATTCCCCTTCGTACATTTATCTCTTGTTCAAGATAATACTCTGGTGTTGAACTGGATGCTCGTCTTCTGTCGTCCTCGCACACACTTGGATCGACTGTTGAAATGGGGGACCCCCACCACCCTATTGCCATAGCAACCAGAGTGGGGGGAGATCATCGACCCCGCCCTTCCCACTCGCGTATGATAGTTAGCCCCGCCAAGAACAGGTACGCACTCACCCCGCAACCCTGCAACCACACTCCAAACATTCTTGGCAAACAACAAAACCCTGCATTCCTGCCCTTCCAGCATATGATCTCCGCTGCGCCCATCACAAAACACAGCATCAGCCAACCAACCAACCACTTGTACATATCGTAACCAACCGAAAGCCATGCTCTCTATTCGGCGGCGATAGCATAAATAGAAACATAATGCCCTCATTCTTCGCTTTCCAACAAGGCTCCTCCGATTCCCGCTCACTTCCGCCGTCGGAGACCGAGTCCTTACGATTTGGCCGTTTCAGGGCTATACCTCTCCACCTACAGCAGCAGAGAAGGAGTGTGAGTGGTTTATTCACGGCGCCACCAGAGTATTCAACGCTGACAAGGCCGCTGCTATCGGGCGCTGGTGGTGGTTACGGTAGTAATGGTGGTGGTTATGGCGCTATTAATATTTCACGAAATGGAAATGCGGTGAGGAATGTTGGTGATGACAATGATGAGGAGGAGGACGAGGTAGATGAGCGCTGGTGGCTGGATAGGGTGCTAATTAGCCCCAGGAAAAAGACTGTGGTTTGGATGATGGAGATATGGTATCGGCGGTTGGGGGTGTTGGTGGTTTTACCGGCTGGGATAGTAAGTCCCCTACTGAGTGAAGGTCACTACAGACTAGACTGATAATGAGGTGCGCTGTTATAGACGATAGTTTGGTGCGGTATTCCATTCCCAAAGTACCCGCTCAGTGTGCCGCCCGCGATACTAGTAGATGTGCCCCCCTCGTCAGCGCAAGTTCACATGGAGTCTCACGGCAAGAACTTACTCAGGATTCTTTGGACCGCTGTTCACAACCTCCTTGATATATCCGTGATCCGCAACCTAATATCTTCCTCCCTACACCCACTCGCCTCCCGTGGCCGCAACGATGGAGAGGTAAACCAACAAGTCAGTGGACCAGGCCACGGGGAAGCGGTAGTCTGTATAAACTTCTGGTTCTTCCTCCTGTGGTACTATGCATTCTACAACTTCGTCGGGCTCTTATGGATCACAAAGTTGTTCAACCTCTATTCCGTCAATTGGTACCACTCTCTTCCCCCACGAAACATGATCCAAATTGACCATATACACAAAATAGGTGGCCTAGCAGACTCGGCTTTCCCCCGGCGTTCACCCTCTTCAACCTCCTCCCTCTCTTCCTCTCCCTCCCAATATACTACCTCTTCCCGCCGCCACTGCTGAACAACAACCTAACCTGGATCCTCCTAACCTTCACAACAATGTCCGGCCCGGTCCTGATCTCTTTTCTAGTCCTCCTCTCGGAACGCCGCTCCGCGCTGCGCACACATACGATGCGAAACCCCTTCCACACCACCTTCTCCTCACTGCGCTGGTACAGGCGCCAACGCTGGGGCTTAACCCGCTCCTTCACCCGTTTTATCTGGTTCTGTAGTGCATTAATTCTCTCGTTGATAGCCTTTGTCCTCGGCGAGGCCTACGCAGAGGTCTACCTACGCACACTCCCACACACATCGCTGGAAACCGTGATATACGTCTGGAGCTGGATCGCGACGATCCACCTACTTGATGCTACGACCGGGTGGATTCTGGGTACGAAGGTGGGCAGCTACCCCCTCGGTTGGGTCTTTAAGCTATACTTTGCGACAACGTACCAGACATACGTACGTGCGCTATACGCGAGGCTGCGCTCACCGAGCCAATTCGCGTACTTGCAGTTGCTATCGTCGAGTATTGTCATCGTTTACCACCCGCTCTCTATGACCCCGCTGTTCCACAAAGCCTATACACGCCTGGGCTTAACAGATCAGACCTACCGCGAATACCAGAAATACCTCGGTCGGGGTTTCTTCGTGCGTGGGCTTGCCGAGAATGTCACGATGGTGGCGTGGCTGGGCTGGGTGCTTGCCTTGCATTATGGGTGGAATAGGGAGGTGTACCCATACTTTTCCTTCGATGAGTTCAACTTCAAGCTCACCTTTTACGCCTCTGTCATGACGTGGGCGTGTGAGGTTATCGCCGGATGGTGCGTTAGGGGGATTGTGCGGCGAGGGTTTGGGTTCGAGGTTATGGGCGAGGGGGTTAAGGATTTGGTTGGGTTCGATGGGCTATTGCCGGCCGTGCTGGCGGTTCAGGTGCATGTTTTGCAGAATATGCTGGTTAGTATTGCGCGGTTGAGGTTTTAGATTGTATATAGATCTTCCATGATGTAATGAGTTGTAATGATATCATAGCTATTTGCTGACCTAAAACATGAGATCTCACTCGCAGTAATAACCCTAGCCCTGTCCTGCCTCACTAAAACTAACTAGAACTAGGGTTCAGAAATGAGTGCAGTGCACAGAAAGATATAGCTCTAGTGTGGCTCCAATCCTCAAGGTACATATGATACGCTTACAACATCTGATTCGGTCCGGCATTAGACTAGATTTCACCTTATTGAGATTCAGGTCGTTATCGATCCACCCAAAAAAGCCCCGGGCGCACAAAGATTCCCCCCTCCCCCCAAGATGTTGAAGGAATATCCGAGAAGGCCTATGGGAGAAGTCACTCCAGCTCAAGAACTCAAATATTGTAAGGTTGTTTTGCACGGTCCCAGGGGAATCCTGTGTAGTATAACTCTGAGGCCGCGGGATACCGATGAACACCGCCGGGATTGATAGGAATAAAAGAACAGAACCTTCAACGGGGGAAGAAAAAACGTGTTTAATATCAGCTCTCATAAAATAAAGTAGTCCTCCAGAATCTAATTTTTTCTTCAAAAAAAATTTGAAGTTGCGAGATCACATAGTCTATCTAGTGTGGGCCCAAAATTAATAGTTAATGTCGAGCGGTTGGGTGCGGATGTTACATGTTAGTTCTTTACCTGGCACAATTATGTCTCATTGCCGGAAGGTAGATGGGGATAGGGCAGAAGGAAACTGTGCAGCGGATATGACTAGGCCTTCTAAACAATTTTTCATTTTATTTTCATTTTATGGTGTCATAATTATAATACTTTCAAGACCAGTTTCCAACCCCCCCCCAATCCAACTCCAAAACTCCACAAATCTAGTTTTCGTGTTCAACATCAATTCCCCCGTGCGGGAGTGTCGGCTCACAGGACGCATAATGTTAACTGGCTTCTTCCCTCGTCATGTCAGTGATCCATCTCGCATTCGGCTTCGGAGCTTGGCATCTCGCAAGCTTAGCAGTAAGGTAAAGCCGACAGGTATTATTACCAACGGTTTCGACTCCATTGCTCACCTTGGCCTTCGCATACTCGCTCATCCTGGTGTAAAAATCGTTGTTGGTGTACAAATAAAGTAGATGAATTGCAACAGCGTTAGTATCTCCAATTTCCATGAGAAATACAAATTTCCCATGTCCAACCTGCAAAGGAATGCCACAGGCCCCCGTGGCAATGACAGACTTTCCATGGCTTCGAATCCTTCATGCAAGAATAGCTGCACTACCAGCTTCGCGGTAGTCATCATTGCATTCAGCGCTAGCATAAACGTCAGATTCGCATATAGATTATCGTCTCATAGGAAACTTACTCCAATTACTTGGCCCAGTTCTCATGCCCATACCTTTTGTAGCCGCGACATATCTCGGGCGCGCAAGAAATCCAATAGTTTCTGGATATATGCGGGTTCAGCGGTGGCAGGAAAATAATAAATTTGATATCAACGACGTCCAGAACGCCTTTGCCATGGTCGAATCTTACCATCTAAGTGATATGCTCTCTTGCAGGATACAGAAGCTGGCTCCTGGGGGTCACCAACCGAATTAGCGATTCTATCGTGAAAAAGCACAAACTGTTTGCAAGCCTAACTTACATGCCCACATCATTGCATGGATTCCGTAGATCGTGATGAGAAACCCTTAAATACTATTCGCGCAAAGGCCTATTAAGCCCATAAAGCCTATGTTTACTACTTCTCTGGAAAATAACTCGGGGGCGAGGGGAGCACGCCGGTCGGTGCGGGCGGGCGTCAACCCAACCGCCACCAATGGGGCATCGAGCGGAACAAACTTGTCCACCAGATGACCTGCGAAGACATCCGCCAGGTTTATAAACCCCACATCCACTGCCATACCAATTTTTGAGGGCTCTTAGGGCTTCCCACGGGGTCGCTGCGAACTTCAATGTGAAAACGGTAAATAGCTTTAGCCGGGCGAACCTTTTAAATCAACTGAGTGCAGGCATTGGGGGTAATCTATGATAACGACGTCTGCTTCACCAGGAACAAGTGGGCGCCTCCGGTAGAGAACCAATAACCCTCAGCGTTTGTTCCAATCCATTCATTGAGTAAAGCTTGGTGCATCTCACCAAATCTTGCTTCGGGGCCCGCCACTATTTGGAGGATGTTGTGGTTTGTCTTTATAATTCTGAAGGCCCCCGGGCTGGGCTTTGGAATATACCTGCCACACATCACTAAATAAATGCTATACACGATAGGTGAGATGAAAACAAACCAGTTAAATTGCATATCCAATTCAGCAAAACCTGACCAGAAGATGCCTCATTAAAGCGACACCACCGCCCTATAGGGTTGCTAAGGAAAAGGCTATTTTAGTCTGCGGACATTGAGGGTCTCCCTCGGTCTGGCTGCCTTTTCATCTCCTTAATTCATAAGGATACTTGAGAACAGCATTCAAAGAACCCATGTGTGCGGTATTCTCATACTCTCTCAAGTCCTCAACCAACTCAATAGCACCTTGTACATCCGGCATCAGCCTGTTTCTGAAAGGAATGGCGAGAGCTGAGTTATCACTCGGACCAAAGCACATAACACACTTTCGTGCTGCAGAGTCCGCTTGCTCGTCAGCATCAATAGGAATTGTCCCAGTATCTTCAAATGCGCAGAAGGTGGTCACCTGCACCTTAATGACATGCGAACAAGCCCAACTCTCGCCAGAGACATGCATATATACCAGGACAAACTCCCTCGGCACACAGTGTAACACCAGTGCCCACAGATTTAGCTTCATGTTCTAGGAGTGACCTTCAGTCATTTCGATGGCATTGACGAGATCCCCCATATTCTCACTATCTCTTATGGCGAGTTGGTTAACGCGGTGTTTTATTGAATAGACGCCACCATGAATTAAAATCCAAATTCCCGTGGTCTTAAAATTAACCCTAGTGGCGGCCGCCCAATATGGAGCGGCCGAACTGTTAAGTTAACAAACAATTCATAGTGTGCAATAGTCGCTGATAAAAAATAAAAAAAGAGGAAAAAAGAGGAGAGTGAGGGAAGCAAACTTACAACAAACAGAATTCCAGCCCGGACGGTCTCTTCAGTTGACAAGCTGATAGATTTCCTGAGAAGAAACAGTGTCGAAGGGGTGTGTCCAAGCATAGGAAGCCTCACAATCAAAAACACTTGCTGGATCTGACAAGAAAAGACATGTTTGATGAAGAGGCAGATGGGTTAAATTAATTCAACCCGGCGAAGGAAAGGGGAGACAAGAAAGCCAAGAAGGTTTAATCTCGGTATGGTAGAGAAAGCTTTCTTGGTATAATAATATTATGAAGGATTTTTGGTGAGTGAGAAAGGAAAGGGAGAAGCAAGGAGAGAGAGAATGATTCGTTTGATACCGTTTGGGGGGGTGCTGACAAAGCGAAGTCATGAGGGTAGGTACGTGGGCGTGTGTAAGCGGGCGTGGAAAACCATAATAGTATGATATCGTATGTGCACGCTCCCAACGTGATGTGCCCTTATGCAGGTGAAAATCCAATGATATGATATGATACCTTCTTGGGTACGCAAGCTAGGATAATGCAAGTTAACTTAAGAGGCCAGGTGATAAAACCCATAGGGATTTGCTTTGGCCATTCGGGTCTGTAGTTGCTCGCCAAGTGGAGACAGCGTCCTTCGCTATCCACTCGAGTTCATGATAGTATATACCATAAAAACTCGTTAAATCCGGCATCTGGAATCAGGCTTGGCTATGGCGCAAATAAGGTGTGCGTAATCATGCCAAGAGATCGAGTGATCGTCCATGATGCCGAAAAGACATTTCTTGAACGTCAATCCACAATTAACACAACTATTAGTTTACAAATTCTATAACTTCATCTCCCTCTATCCCAACATCTGCCCTGTCATCAAGTGAGTCTAAATCTTCTTGCCAGTTGCCAATTTCCAGATTTTCAAATCCCTTGATATCCAACTCATGATCCAAACTACCATCAACTGGAAGTGACAAGCCTAATTTGCGAAAAGAACTAACAATTAGGCTTGCCTTCTCAGTATGAAACTGAGCATAACTATCTTCAACACAGTGAGTTGTCATAACTCTTCGGTCCTCAACTGTCCATTTTTTGAAATTGGCTGCTGATTCGCACTCGAAGATCTTTCAATCTGTGTAGTTGCGTATTAAATCCTTAAACAGCTTGTTAATAGAGACGTCTAGGGGTTGCACCAGGCTAGTGCATCAGGTGGGAATTAGAGAAGGGGTGATGTTGTTATTTCGAAGTAGCTCAAGTACGGTGGGAGTCTTATGAGACCCCATTAAGTCAAGGGCAAAAAGACTTGGACGACCACCAAGTGGGGGAATTAAGTAATTAGTGAGGTATTTTGTAAATAAGGTATCGTTCATATATGCTGTAGCATTATACTCAATCAAAATACCAGGATGATATTGTAGTTTTTCAGCTCCCAACCTAGTTCTTGTACCATGAAAAATAATCATAGGTGGTATTCGGGAGATGCCATCAGCAAAAATACAGAGAACCAAGCTGGCCTATGGCTCATCTCATCCCGATTGGCTTTTCTTTACCCACACCGTCTTTGCCCCTGCCGTGTTATAGGTTTTACCCTGAAGGTATTCGAAAGGAATCGGGGTCTCGTCGAGATTGCAAATATTGGAAAGTAAATAGCGACCAACCAGATGCTGGACTGCAACCTCCCAGAATCGATTACCTCTTGGCTGTGAGTTTCGCCGGTTGAAACGCAACCAGTTAACAACAAGCATCTCATAATTTAAAGGTAACTTTTGCTCTTTTTTGGTAATACTGCGAAGGCTAATTTGATGGCGACCAAGAAACCCCCCAAACTACCTGTTACTGAATCTGAAAAGCTCTGGACTAGCGTTTGGATAAGTCTCTTGAAATAAGAATTGAGACTGAATTTGAAACCACCCCTGCCCCACAGTTCGTCCTGCTTCCCTTTGTTCTCTAAATTGACCATATAAC